AGCACTCAGGTCCGGGCTTGGTTCCGGTCCAGTCCTTGAACAAACATTCCACCGTTTCCGCCCGCGACCCCATGTGGAGGGGACAAAGGGTGAAAGGGAAGACATTTCAACGGAGCCTGCGGGAGCCTCTCCCGCCCGGTCACCTGAGCGCCCACCACAGGGACACCCGGACGCTCGGGGCCATCCTGGGGTGTGGCAGCAGGGCAGTCTCACTCCCCCCTTTCAGAGACCATGGAGGGAGTCCTGTCCCTGTGCTCCCTCTAGGACACAGCTCCGCTGAAGCCACCACTGCACCGGGCACTGGGAGACCCTGTGAGGCCCAGCTGCGCCCTCGCCGAGCTCGCACACATACCCAGCGACAACACAGGACAGCGACGGAGAGGCACGTGAGACACCCACGCCACAGTAAAGGGACACCCGGCGCTGCTGCCAGCTGGGCACGGAGGAGTGAGGGGGGCGGGGAGCAGGGACGCTGCCCTCAGGGGGCTGGCAGTCCAGAGGCGGCACCCAAGCCAGCGGTTCCTGCTGCCTCTTGCCACTCACCCGGACCGATGTCTGCAACTGGGTTATAAACTTGTCATAGAGTCGCCGTGTCATCTCGGGCTGCAACTGGTAGAAGCGCTGGTAACACTCAGTGAATCTCTGAAAGCTGGCGGGAGGGAGAAGGCAAAGGTGGGGAGGTGACACACGCGCCTGTCACCAGTCATCGGCTCCGGCCTGGGCAGCCCTGCCTCTCACACAGGGCTCTGAGCCTTGTCTTCATCATCCTGGCTGGGGGCAGTGGCTGCAACACATCTCATCGGCAACCCCGCCAGCCCCCAGGGCCTTGCCCTGCCGCTCCAGAGCCCAGCTGAGTTCAGGTGTTTCCCCGTTAGCCCAGCCACATTTTTTGCTTCTTGGTCTTTACTGAGCATCGAACCACCAGGAGAGCTTGCGAAACCCAGATCGCTGGGCCCCCCTCCCCACCCCCAGCTTCCAACACGCTCCTGGGCGATGCTGAGGCTGCTGATCGGGGACCAACTGTGAGACCCTCCATCGTTCCAGCCCCCTTGCAGGGCCGGATTAGGGCAGGGCATGTGGCGTCTGTGAGGTTTCCTCGCTCCTAAGGAGCCACATGGGAAGAACTGACGCCCTTCCCGGAGGACGTGTGATGCCCAGGTGATGCCTCCAGCTCCCAGCAGCTGTCGGGGCCGTGGCCTGAGGGCAGTTTCTCCCCAAGGGGGCAGAGTAGAAAGAGGCAAGAAGTGGGGTCTCGGAAGCCATCGTCGTTAGTGAGGTCATGGATTTCTCTTATTGTTCATGCCATTTAAAATGAGGCATCTGTCACCGGCAGCTGGGAGCACCTGACCGATACGTGGCTTGTGGCTGGAAAGATCGAAGGGTACCCCGCACACCCCGACAGAGCTCCTCTTGGACGAAGTCAAATGAAGACAGCTCTCGGCTGTCTTCCCTTCCCCCTCTCAGGCTCTTCCCCTTCTCCGAGTAATCACTCGTGCCCGCCACGCGCCGGCCACCCACCGGGCACCGGGTGGCACGGCCCCAGGAGCTTCCAGCAGAGACGGCAGCAAACACAGAAACGCACGCGCGCATGTGGTGACAGCCGCTGCGGAGACTGCTTCCGGGAGTACGGGCTGACGGAGCGTGTCATGGGGTCATCTTTAAGCTAGAGGTGGGGCATGAGGGCTTCGGTGACAGTAGCGCTTACACGGCCTGTAGAAAGTGTTTGAGCCAAGGTGAGTCCTCAGACACACACACGCTCACTCACACTTACGCTCACTGGGGGTCAGGCTGGCGGCCGCTGGACTAGCAGGCTAGGGACCTGGAGTCCAAGGCACCGTCCACGCCCACCCCGCCCTGGGAATCCCCGCTGGGCCTCCCCACCCGACTCCTTCCCCTGACAGTAAAGGAGAGCCACTCACAGCGGCTTGCAGGAGAGGACAGAGACGACATTAACTACTGGAACCCTGTGCACATTACTGCGAAGCAAATCACATAAACTGACAATAAATCCCATGAGAAACAAGGCACCACTGACTGCTCAGAACACGCAACTTCTCATCCTCCCACGCTCTGGGTGCTCTGGGGCGGGCGGCCTAGACCCACCGTCCCGAGGGAACGTGTGCGAAGGCCACTGCCCCGCTTCTGTCCGCACTGCGCTCGGAGACGGACGCCCTGACCAGGGCTTTCTCTCTGGAGCGCGGCCGCGAGCGCCCAGCAGCACCGTCCAGGCGAAGGCGGCCGTCCCTCGCCCTCTGGACGCCGCGCAGTTCACACTGGCACGCCTCGGAGGTGAGCCCGGGTTCCAACAGGACAGCACCAGACAGTGCTGGGCCCTCTGCACCCTCGGCCCAGCGCGGGCATCCTGTTGTCCTGCTCTGGCCCCGCTGGCCACGCAGCCCGTGGCCACATGCTGGAATGATGCCTGACCCAGCGGGGCCGGAATCGAAACCGGGTAATTGTGGCTCGGAAGGGTGCGGTGCGGACACGGGCGATCCCGTCCCTCCTCCCTGCCCACAGGACGGCGGGGGCCTGAGCGGCACCTCTCCCCCCAGCCGGTGCAGGCCTGAGGCCACCTCTGTCACGATGTCCCCTCTGGGGTGTGAGCGTCCACTAGAGGCGAAGGACCCCAGAAACATGCACGCTCATGCAAGGCGGGAACGAGGCAGGAAGGCGGCCAGCTTGAAGGCCACGCCAGGGAGCACGGGAGGAAAGCGACTCGGCCTCACTGAGCTGTAACGCCGCACGGCATGCCCACCGGAACACGCACTGTGAAGCCGCCGCTCCGAGTCAAGTGAACACCCGTCACCTCTCACAGAGACAAAAAAAAAAAGGAAAAAAACGTTTCTTCCTTGTCATGAGGACTCTGAGGACCCGCTCCCGACAGCTTTGGCTACGCCACGTGGCAGTGCTGACCAAGGCTGCCCTGTCGCACATCATACCCCAGCTCACGACTGGAGGCTGTGCCTTCGCCCACCTGCACCCAGGACCCCTGCTCCCAGCCTCGGCGAATCCTCCCTTCCCAGACAGTGCGGACCTGGGAGCGGCCTGGATGCCCCGCGAACTTCCTGAGACAACGCACGCAGGGCAGAACGGGAGAGCGATGCGCTTTGGACGACACTCCTGGCCACCCCCACCCCACGCGGTCGCACTGTACACTGTCGCAGCCTCTCGGAGGGGGTGCCGACCGCGATTGCCCTGGGATCTCCAGGGTGCCCAGGACAGCGCTGCAGGCCAGGTGGTGGGCGAGGGGAGGCCTGGGCTTCCTGGCCAGGCCCCCACGCTGGACCCCGGGGTCCCAGGGCCTGGGCTACCTGGGCAGTGTCTGCGCCCCAAGAGCATCCGCAGCAGCCTCTCTGCCGAGCCTCCCTCTGTGGGATGGTCTTGGGCCTTGGCCTTCCCAGAGCACACAGGGGGCCGCTCGGTGACACGCCAGGTGAGCGCGTGGCTCTGACGACAGACTGCTGTCCTTCTGCCCGGGTTCAAACTCTCCCTCGACCACTCCTTTACCTCTAGGAGCCCCAGTCCCTCCTCTGTCAGATGGCGCTGATAACTGCATCTCTAACTGCATTTTCGTAAAATGCCCGAGTGGATAAACGAGGCTACGTAAACAACCCAGCCCACGGCAACGCTCTGGGTCAGCCACGACCACTACCCCCCCAACCCCCACCCCATGAGGGACAGTCGGTAACTGGCTCCGAGAGGCAGAAGCGTCCTCTCGTCCTCTTGTCCTCTCGGCAGACGGCCAGCGCTCAGTGAAATGCACCTGGCTCACAGCCACCAGAGAGCAAAGGCTAAATTGTGGCCTTCTCCACGAGTGCTACATTTGTCATCGTCACCGAGTTTCAAAACAGAGATGACTATACTGATTTTAACCAATTTTTTCCTTTAAATACTTATGCGACACCTGAGATACCTTCGCTGTTTCTGAACTGACAGATTAAGCCTTTCCTACTGCACTTACAACTCACTGCGGAGTTCTCACAGAAGTCTAACTTTAAAAAAGCGACTTCGAAGTAGTTAAGCACAGAATCAAGTTCTGAGTTGTCCATCCGGGGGCTTATACGGCAAGGCAGTGGCCGGCCATTTCACAGAGTGTCCGCCAGAGGGCGGGCGAGGACTGGCTCTTCGGTGCAATAACCGAATGGAGGGCAGAGAAGACTGACAACAAGACAGACAGACGCTGGAGACAGAAGATGGGGTCACTGGGACGAAAATCCACGCTCTCCACCCCACCCGCCGCCTACACAGCTGCCCGTCTCGTTGGGAGATGTCCCTGGTTTGGTCCTTTCCCCTCTCCGCTTTCTCGAGCCGTACACTAGGTAGCCCCAGTACTGGGACCAGGAGAGGGGAAAACGGAAACGACCCTCGGTGATTTATGATGAAGACTGTATTACAGTTATCTTACAAAATCAGTCATTTCTCTAAGCCGTCAGTAGCTAATTTTAAAAGAAAACAGAAAATAAGAGAATACCCACAATCGTAACAAAACTAAAAAGCATTAGGTAGTAACCAAACAGAGAATGCACGAGTCCTTTAGAACTCCACTAAAGGACAGAACGAAGCCAGTCTGACGAAGCAGACAGGTCACGTCATGTTTGTCGCTGGACGACGGCACTGAAGACACCGCACTGTAGACCCAGCCAGTTCTCCCCAGACCGATCTGCACGTTCTTTACGGTCCCAACCAAAAGTGCAGCTGAATGTTTAGAGGAGCCAGGAAAACTCACTTTATAAAGTTTACAAGGAAAAGTCAAGGTCCTCAAATAGCTGGGCCGATTTTAAAGAGGATGGGGACTCATTTGTGCCAGACTTAAGGTTCCCTACCACGGCCAGTGTTAAGGACTCCCACGCACTGGCACAAAGACAGGCAAGTCGATCCGTGGGGCAGAAGCGAGACCCCAAGATGCGGCATGCAGAGGGACTTGCGACATGACAAAAGGGGGCTCCATAAAGCAATGGGGACGGATGAACTGGCTGGTTAACAATCAATGGGAAAACTAAAAACATGAGACTGGCCGAGACCGCCACCTTATACCTTAATCCAGATAAAGATTTTAAGTACAGAGTAAAACGACAAAATAGCTAACAGAAAAATACCCTGGAGATTATCTTTGTGACCCAGGTGTGGGTAGTCTCTATAAACGAGTCCCCAAAAGCACAATATAATTACATGGAATTAATTATAAATTAATAAATTAATTATAAAAAATAACTAGGCGATACTTCCTGATGTTATGACTGAGGGGTGCTGAGTTAGTCAGAGGCTGAAAAAGGAGAGCCGTGAGGACCCACCACCCATGGGTGGTGCATGCCTCTTTCTGCTTCATCCTCCTGGGGTAAAGTGTGGACATCTACAGTCTGTGTTACTTTTTTATATGATTAGAGATTTCTATTTCTCAAAGAATGTTATAGACAAAGTTAACACCTAATAAAGAAAGACAGCTCCTTCAGCCTAACACTGACCACAGACTGATTTCTAGACTCTACCAGGAACTCCAGCAAATCAAGATAAAAATGCCAATTTTAAAAAATGAGTCAGAAAAAAAGCCTGGAGGAAATGAGTAGGCAGTTTGCAGAAGAGGAAACCAGATGACTAACAAGAACGTGAGGTAATGCTCAAACCCAAGAGGAAATCCAAGATGTGCAAGCTCAAAGCACGGGGCGGTAACCCTTTCACACCTTCAGGACAGGTGTTAGGATGCGCCTGCCCAGTGATGCGAGGAGGCGGGAGACAGGAACAGCTTTTTTTCTCCTGGAGAGCAATGGGACAAAACACAGGAAGGTGTAAACCCTTAGACACAGTGACCGCTCTCCGTTAGGGACCTCTGCACTCGTCTGTGGTGGGGAGGCACGAGGACGTCTACCCTGGCACCGTCTGTGGACGCGGGAGTTGGAGGCAATGGGCAAGTGCTGGATGCCAATCGCAGAAGGACGAGCGGCATCGAGACCCTCTGAACCCCATGCGCTTATAGGACTTCCCTGCACTCATGCTAACCCAGACCCCACTCCCCACTGATCTCAGTCCCTTTACCCTGATTATTCTCGCTAGGATAACTGGCACCGGAATGTCTACTCCATGAGAACAGGGGCCTTTCTGTCTTGATCACTGCTGTATCTCCAGCTCCCGGAACAACCTGGGACATTGTAGATGGCCGACAGATAAATACTTGTACATGAGCAAATGAAAGACACGTAGCCAACAGAAAGCAGGGCCAATGGGGAGCGGAGAGGAGGGCAAGAACGAGTAGGGGAAAACCAATCAATCAAAAGCAGGAACTCACCTTGACATATAATGAATACGTGTCAGGAGTGGTCCATAAAAATAATTGCATTACTTTATCAAATTCATTACTATGGAAATTAGGCCCCCCTCATGAAATGGCTGTCACTTGCCTGTCCAGCCTCCTGGTTTTACTCTCCCTCTGCTCACCATGTTGTAGCCGACCAGGCCACTGCCAGTTTCTAGAAGGCCCTGACCATCTCAGGGCCTTCGCACAAGCTGTCCCCTCTGCCTATATGCTTTTTCTCTAGCTCTTTTCTCTCAGTCTTCAAGTTTCAGCTCAGTGTCACTTCCTCAGGGTGGGCTCCCCAACCATCCTATCCAGTGTCCCTTCCCCCCAGGCTGCTCTCTACCCATCGCCTGTTAATGACCTTCCCAGGCCCTGCCTGACACAGCGCCCCGCACGGAGCAGGCACGGAGTGAGGGGGTGAGTGAGGAAGGGGCCGTAAAGGGAAGACAGCGAGAGGGAAGGAGACGGGGAGGAGATGGGAGTCTGGACGAGGCTTAGGACAGGTGCTGTGGGGACAGACGGGCCGGAAGGACAGGGACAGGCTAGAGCCGGACCGCAGTTTCGCACCGCGGGACCGTGGGCAGAACTCTTCCTTTCCAAGGTCCAGTGTCGTTACAGTACTTTCATATAAAGCACAAATCAAGGCAGGAAGCGTTTCTATGGTAACAGGCGGGCCTCGTCACCATACAGTGGTGGTACTGTTCCCATGACAACGGAAGCGCTGACGCTTCGCACATGGCAGGCACGGGTGTAAGCGCCCTCCGGGTCCCTACTCATCCAATTCTCGCAGGCGACCTAGGCAGGTCCTGGCCCGGCCATCACGATGGGGGCCGAGGCGCCGGGCCGTCACGCCTGGCTCACCTGCTGGGCCGCGACCGGAACCTCCCCAGGCTTTGGTCAAAACCAGGCTGACCGCAGACGGCGGCGCCAGCG